CTCTGCAATTAACTGTCATTAGATTTGCTTGTTTAGTGAAAAAATAAAACTAGGCATTTCAGCATGTTGACCTGGGGATGAGTTGCGCACAAGAAAGTTCAACCCTCCTTCTGAAAACAGAGCATTCCAAAAGAACTGATTTTAAAATAACTGCATTGAAAAGAGCAACTGCAGCAAGAAAGTTACAAATACAAATATGTAAACGAAAGACTTGGTGCTGCTTTTATGAACTTAAAGGTCTGCCAATGTGTATTGACAATTTTGTAAACATTTTCTGCTTTGAGAACAATCTTTACCATTTGTATTTGTGCAGTCTCTGACATAACAAACTGTTGGCAATGGTTTATGCTTGCTTCAGTCACAGGAAAGGTAGTATAAAAGAAGAGGCTGAAGTTTTCTGTGCTCTGAGATTCATCAGACAAATGCTCCAGGTCCACCGAAGCTGCACCACCACCAGAATAAGCAGCATGAGCTGTACTGTGGTGGGAAAAGAAGGGAATACGACCCTTCCTTTCTATGGCACTGTTATTTTATGTTGGTTTTAAGTGATTGTAGAGTGACAATCTGAGTATTCCCACTAAAGGCAGTTTCAGCATTTATAACCTGTGTGATGATCCAAAGCTTGTACATCCGTTGCAGTAAAAGTGTATGTGGTGTCTCCAGCTGGGAAAATAGACAAGGTGAGCTAAACTTGCTTGGTAGAGCAAGGAAACTTGTGTTTTGGACTTTGGTATGTGTGCAAAATGTGATCTGTGTGATGAGGAGGTTACAAAAGGTTAATAGGTGGCCAAAATCAGTCACAAGAGGCATCACTGTGGCAGGTAGCTTTGTCCTGTGCCTGCCTGTTGTTTTCAGTAACTGACAGCTTCACTTTGGTGAAATTGACTTCGTCCTGTGCCTGCCTGTTGTTTTCAGCAACTGACAGCTTCACTTTGGTGAAATTGAGTAGTTCTGTTTCTGTAGTAACAGCTCTGCTTATCAATAAGCACAGTTGAGATTTGAACATATACACTATACATTGACAACCAAAACTGCTAGAAAACAACAAACTAGAGACTTTTTAATGATAATATGTAACCAAAATTCTGCTTGTCTATTTTGCTAGTGGATTTTGTGCTCAAGGAGTGGCTATTATTAGGATGCTGAAGGCATTCCCTGTTTGCAGATAGGATTAGATGACCAATATTTTTGCTACAAACAGGTAGTTTCTGTCCAAGTACTACAAGTTTGAGTGCAGTGGGTATGTTGTTTTGTTTTTTAAGATTTATGAAATTATGTAAACTAGTAATTTGCTTTAGTCTACATATTAAAATATTTTGGTAGGGGCAAAAGAAAATCCCTTTTACCCACTGAAAGCTGTATCACAATGAAAACAGGCTGGTTATGTGATTTGATGTAGACAAATCCAGTGTTCCTGTGAAAAGTGCAGCTAATCTCATAAATCACTTTGAATTTCAGAGTTTATAATTCAATCAGACTGTTGCCTCAGGGGCTCTGCACTGCATGATCAGGGAGTTAGGAAAACCACTTGGAGGCTTCTACTGCCAAGACATACTCTCAGTAGAGCTCTGTCTCCCAGAATATATACAGTTCCCAGGTCTTGGGTGATGGATATTAGGCTTCTACTGCCAAGGCATACTCTCAGTAGAGCTCTGTCTTCCAGAATATATCCAGTTCCCAGGTCTTGGGTGATGGATATCATGAACGGGAGGCCTAAATGAGTCAGGTAAGAAGGAGAACTCAATGGAGAAGGAAGTTAGGGTCTGGAGCTATGTACCAAGAGAAGCTGAGTGGAAATAGGATAGCAAAAGTACTTGGTACCAGGTGTGAGCTGACTATGGGAAGGGAATAAATAGGCCTTGGAGCTAAGCTGGGAAAATGGAAAACAGTTTTAAAGCAGGAGTGAAAGGAATTGACAAAGGAAAGTGAAAAAACAAGTGAGGTGAAAAAAAAGAAGGCATTTCTTGTGGTAGGGTTAGTAATTTATTTATTTCAATTTCAACATATAACAAGGTTTTCTTTTCAATTCATTTATCAGTGCTGTTTGAAAAGCAGCATCTACAGCCTTAATAAAAGCAGACCCACAGTGGGAGTTTCAATCTGACATAGTGACATCAGGTCATAAAAATTTTCAGCATAGAAGCTGATGAAGACATTTGGTTTTTTCTAAATTTTCTTTTTACTTCTCAATTTTCACTTGTGAATTTCAGATGTTGGAATAGTGCAGCAGCAAAGCATTGATGTTAAATGATGAAAGGTAGGTCACCAACCAAAGTTCTCTTTCATAACAAGAAGAAATCTTGAAGTTCTTGGAGGAATGGAACGGAGTCTCTGGTCTCAGGACTGATACAGACTATTAGGGCTGCTACTGCAGCCTTGCTCCTGCAATAGATTGGAAAGGTGGGGGTGGTATTTCAATAGCTTTTGCTTTCAATCAGCAGTGTTTGCATGCTGATGATTCACAGTGCACTGCTACCCCTTCATTTAAGTTGCTGTCACAGTGCAAGGCTCTGGTGACTAGCAGAAGTCAGTTTAATTGACAGCCCAGCACTGACTCTAGGACATGTGAAGCTGGGACATGTATCATCATTGTTGGTTTGCTTTACATCAGAGCAGAGATGATAGAATTCATGTTTACTTCATTCTTCATATTTGCTGCAGAGGAAGTGACAAAACACGGTATTGCTAGCAGCTGCAACACAGCACATGTAATAAAATCCCTTTGAAGGGAACACACTGGCTTTGCCAGCTGGGGGACAATGCTACAGACAAGTCTAATTACATCTCTGTCCCAAAAATCCTAGTAGGTAGTGCAAGATATCATAGAGCAAATATAATGCCTCTGAGGTATAATGAACTGGAAAAGCTCTGCTTTTATATCAGAGGTGTTATAATCCTGTCTAATTAAACTTTTTAATCCTTAATTTTAGGTTGTGCTAAATTTGACCTTTGACTATGCACATCCTATCTCCTCTATTCATTCCTCTATTTAATTATATCCTTTGCCTTTTTCTTTTCATTCTTTGTGTGTGTGTGTGTTTCCATTTCCTGGGCTGTCAGTGTGAATGAGTCACTTTTACAGCCATTACAATGTCACTTTATGCTGTTTTCTAAAGCTGTCTTTTATTGGCTACTGTGGGAAATTCTAGGTTTTTTATTTGCGTTTTCCAGTCAGCTAGTTGGAGATAAATGCCATGCTGAAAAAAAATGTTTGCATCTAAACATTCAGGTAACTATAGAAATACGTGATGAAGAGATTTCTAGATTAAAAAACCTCTATCTATCTATCTATCTATCTATCTATCTATCTATCTATCTATCTATCTATCTCACACATATACACATAAAAGTTCAGTCTCCAAAGGCTGCAAACAGCATGGAGAACACACCAAGTTTAATACGTTTCTGTCTTTAGCAAAAAAATCTTTAAGATCTTCCTTTTCTCTCTGTGTTTAGATGGTACCTACAGACCTTTGATCTCCTTTGTCAAGGAATATAGTTGTTTGTAATGCTAAGTACTCATGGAATAGTTTGAAATGTTTTACTTCATATTTCTCCACATACCATTTTTCCTAGTTGTGGATTTGTTTTCATTGATGTCAAGCTAACATCAGGACTCAAAGGTCTCTCAAATCACAGACAGTCTTAAACAACTTCAGGTTACCCTGTACAGACTTACTTTCTTCTTTTTTAAAACATGACAAAGGTGAATAAAAAGATTTGCTGTAACTATTTCTCTAACCTTGGGATAAAAAAGGAAAATTCTTCCAAGGTCATGTATTAAAAAGAATTAAGACATCTCTCAATGGTTTTTCTTACATTATATGCTGATAACTTCTAAAGGGATTTATCAATTTAAAAAATTGTCCAAATAATTCATGCTACTTATGGTCTGGTGTGTAATTTCACCAAGAGTTATTTTTAAGAATGCATTTCTTTTCTACTACATATGCTGCAAGTTGGGAAAACACTGAGTGTGCAAGCAGGAAAAATGAGTAAGTTTTCTAGAGAAATGAAAACTCTGGCTCTGATTTTGTGTAGACATGCTGTCTTCACATGCATGTAAACAAAACCACTAAAGAATAAACAGTGTCTGAAGGCTAAGAACTTCCTAGTCCTTAGAACTTTAATTTCTATTAACTTAATATTCATTAACTGGGCAAAAAAAAAATTAATATTGTACTTTAAGAGCAGAGGATATCTATAGGGAATCCACCTGTTGGTAACAAAGAAGGTCTGGAGCCTATCCTTTAATTAGTATTCAGAGATTCATAAGGAAATTTCAGTTAGTTGCAAAATATGTATCTCTAAAAAAGCTAAAGGTAAAATTTTCCAGAGGTAATTTTATATGTCTATACGTAACCTCATCTTTGGCAATCTGGACATGCCAACGGCCATGGAATAGAGGTGTTTTCTTTGTGTGCATGGTTGCATTGCTTCAATGTGAAAAAATACTAGCTCTGCACTTCATTGAAGTCCTCAGTATTAAAGGCATCTACAAGATACACAATACTTCTCAAAGCATTGAAGCCCATGCTGCAAAAAGTTCGCTGACTCCTGTGAAATGCAACTTGCACAAGAGTCTGGGAACTGGTTAAATATTTGTTAAAAATGGAATCCCATGTCTGTGGCAATGAATCTAGGTTCTGCAAGGAATACTTATTTGGAAGGATTTGATCAGGACAATGAAAGTACCAAGTGTTGCACTTTATATCATTATGTGTTCTGGGAGGTGATTTCGAGTAATAGCAGTGCCTCTAACCTGTTCTGAAGGTGGGATAGGAGACAATCTGCAATCTGCTGAGCACAAGTGTAAATCTTGTGTAGTTTTTCATTGTGCTTACAATATGCTTATACTAACCTAGGTCACATTATTTCCAAAGCTCCCAGTCTGTATATCTAACCATTGGGCTATGCACTCCCCTGCTAATGACTTTTGCAGAACACTCAAGGAATTTTGAATGAAGTGTAAAATGTCATTTATATCTTACACAGGGAAGATGAAAGGAAGAAAAAAGAGATGTTCCTTACCTTCAGCCTTTATCTTGCTGTTCTTCTGTATCACTGGGCATGCAACTACTGAGTTGGATGACAGTGAAGAAGAGGATGTTGTGGGTAAGAGATTCCAACAAAACACCTAAAACTATCCCAAACAACAAAGGCCACTATGTTAAAATGCACTGTAGATGTGATTTTTTACTTAACAATTTTTGTGGGAAATTTTGGACATTGGGACTATGTTAACAGTATGCTGGTTTCCAGCTGGGAGAGAGGTGGTCACAATGATGTGTGAAGCTTTAACAAAACTACCTTCTGCCAAGGCTTCTGTTTCCCAAGCTTTTTGGAACTTTTAATCAAACATTTTGTTAGATATCAAGATGATTCCCTTAAAACTCTGCTTTCATGGAAGCATTTGATGTTTAGGGAAAAGAACACAGAGCTGGTAAACTCAGGTTGCATCTCTCCGTGCTAAAGGAGCAGAAATATGATGAGTAGCATTACAAATTGATGTTGCTCTGTGCCAAACATGTCTCTCTTGAGTCCCAGTAAATTTGCAAAGTTTGGTCTAAAGAAGATACAATTACTACCCTGGTTGTTTTTCTGGGCTTCGAAGAAGGTTTTTGTGTAGCCCCAAGTGATTTGATATCACTGCATAAATAAAGGAGCTGGACTCAATGATCCTTGTTAATGCCATCCCACTCAGGATATTGTACAATTGTGGAACTGAAAACTCACTAGTTAGAAACTTTTGTTAAGAAAAAGGCATGACTGATAGAACTGGGCTGATTCTTGGACATAAATGTCCCTGTTGTCTGAAGGCAAAATCACATTTATTGTTGCCCTGCAGCTCTTAGTGTTAGATCAATCCTTAGACTAAGCTTGCAGTTCATGAAGGCCAAATTGTCTTGCACACTTTGTCACCAGAACAAGAAATCTGCTGGATTAATTTTTTTCCTCTATTTAACTTGATTATAAAAGACAATAACAGAATAATCTCAAGGAAATTAAGTAGTCATTTTACTGGGCATTCTTTTTTCGCTGCGTATTTTGCAACCGGTTATTTAAGATTATGTGACCAGTAACTGGTTTAGTATGAGAAACAGTCCTGAATTTTTGGTCTTTAATTCTAAAGTGAAAAATAATCAAATGTGATGCTTAGAAATCAAACTAGGATCTTGGGGTTTTGACTACTGAAGACTTAGTTGCAGTGTGCATATTTTTGCAGAACTCTGTATCCATATAATGCTTAGATTGATGCTAATTAAAATTATATTTGTGGTTTCTTAAGATTTTAATTCTGCACTCAGTGCATTTAACTGTAGAAGTGTTGTAGGCTGCAATTTCATTGATAACCTTTATGTTTGGGCTTAGGTGTATATAAAGCAATGGTGTATTTTATCCTGGAATTCAATACATTTCAGGTATTAAAGCATAAAATAAGTTGTGTGCATCCATTATTTGTAATGTCATACTTTTGGATCACATCAAGTACAAGTGCTTTGTGAATGCAAGAGAGGGCTTTGGTCTATTTAAATTACAGTAATAATTCAGGTTGCAGGTCAAGTCCAGTGGGATAAAAAGGATTCTTAATTTGTTCTCTTGCCATTTTCCCACCAATAAATAAGGGTAATAACCAAAATAAAAGGTATAAAAATAACTAGTTTATGTATATTGTTCAGTAATACCCTATATGGTTGGCAGCACTTCAGTTGATATTCCAAAGACTGAAGAAAATGACTCACATATTGAATGTGCTTTTTATTCATACGTGAAAGTTTGCCAAGAATAAATGTGCCTGCTTCAAGAAAGGGTAGGAAACACATGGGTAGGAAGAGCACTGAACAGTGTGGGTGGAAGCTGTCAAATTGACAAAGATGGAGAGAAAAGAAACAACTATTAATTAGTGACAAGGTGCTTAGTATTGATATCACTTTTCAAAGGGAGACATGTACAAGAAAGGCTGGAAAGATGACAGCATATATTTATAATTAAGGATAACCATGGAAATTCATATAAGGTTGAGAACACATAACCTAAGCAAACTAAAACAGAAAGTATTTTACATAAAAAGTCAAAAA